GACACCACAGAAACCAAGCTTGGGCTACCTGTGGTTTTATGGGTATACAATACAGATATCCCATCAGCCCTTTTGGTTGTCRCGCGTCGTACAAGAAAAACATGGCGAATGTGGGTTTTGTAAAGAGAAGAAAATAGCTATTTTGACGGTAAGTAACGTTCAGGACCTTACAAAATCCCTTGAAATATTGAACTTAAATGTTCTTACTTCTCTTTAGGCCTTTTTCTCTGATATTTGTTGTCTTTTCGTTGCGTTAACGAATGTTTCTTGAGGCACATGTGACTTCGCTTGTCGTCGAAGGAAAACATTTGTTTCCAAACATGCATTTTGTGTTGGTAGAATGGTTTTTTAAACTTTGAACAACACTAAAGATGTGTATTAATCCTTTTTTGAATTTATTTGTCCAATTTTCTATTTCTTTAAGAGTTTTTCTTAAACTTATTTTCTTCGTACTTTGAAGACAAAAACGTATACTTACCTACCCCTCCGTAAAGAACATAAAACAGCACTAGTAGCGTTTGTATTATTAAAATATATATGATGGTAATTTATATATCTTATAAGTATAAGGAAACATCTTTTTTTACTAAATTCCGTATCTAGGGGGTAAAATGTTGTCCTGAAGAGAAACTGAATTTTCACAACCTTTTTCAAAAATAAATTAGCTTTTATATTTTCGACATTTTGATACAAATTTCTTTATCGTTGTTATTACATAATACAATAATAATAACAAATTATTATTTTATTTGATTTATTATTATTTTATTGATTATAAAGTTCTGATTGCATAAAAGGGGGACACAGCTTTGCGTTTGATTGTCAGACAGGATAAAAATGATTGAAAAATAGATACAACCTATTAGATTTTGTGATACAAATTTTCTTTATTGTTGTTATTTAACAATAACTCGGCAAAGGCAAAGTGAATATCAGGGAATATTAACCTAGACAGGAGTCTTTTTCATTTTTCAACTTAGCTTTTGCCTTAAAGGCATAGCTAATACAGTCAATTCAAAAAATGTTGTCATCAACCAACTCAAGCCTACGCGACTGGACCGAAAGGAACTCTGGGTAGCAATCATTGAAGCCGAGTTGACTCAATAATTTTATCTGACTAGTTATGCCTGGTTTACAGCACGAACCTTCGTAGGCGAGCGTGAAGTGTTGAAGGAGACGTTTTTTTAATGCCTTCATATTTTCGGAATTGTGAACTGAATCATAACTACTTTGTTTTTCTTTCCCTAACCCCAAAGACATGCATTTGATGGATTGTTTCTCGCCATTATTATCTTATTACTACAGAAACAATTAATTCAGAACGAATATTTAACCGCTTCAGTGATTTTTACCCATATTCCTTTCGATCTAGTCGCGTAGGCTTGAGCAGGTCGACGACAACGTTTTTTGAATTGACTGTATTTCATTGTCTGTGTACAACTTACTACCAATACATTTGTTTTGTGATCCTTCATCCGGTTGTTGACTTGTTATCGATCGAAACAGCCAAGCTACGGTTTTGGTCCTTCCATGTGCTAAAATGTTTTCTTGATGCAAGATTTTCAAAGTATTTTTTACTCTATTTACAATAATTTTATGCTATTTTGCTTCAACAACCAAGCACAACCTTCAAGCATTTTAAAATGATTATTCTTAGAGGATTTTTCAGGCATTTTCACAATTTCTCAAGTGATATTTCAGCAGAATTATGATCACCTGTGGTATGGCTGATCGAGTGATTTTTGTGTTGACAACTCAACACCTCCATTCATTCGAAATATAGAATCTAGCCTTCTATAACGGTTGTAAAAGTTTTAAAAGCCTCTTTTGAGAGTGAATAATTTGCTTCTGGGAACAAAATTAATAATGTTTATCAAGACTCCAGTAATTGCCATCGACAAACCAATAATTTTGATTATTTTGTGCTCATAAACTGTGAGTAAGTTAAACTTATACAATAACCTGTAAGCTTACATTGTATTTTAGTAACTCTACTGTATGTCACATAAGCTTATGTGTTTTATTTATACTTTTTAAATTCTCAATTTTCTGTATGTTTGTGTTTAATATTTTCTTTGAAGAGTGGTTTTTGGATGCCAGATCAAATATATTAGTTACATAATATAAAATACGTAAACAAAGATTATTCTAGTAGATGTGGCAAAATACAGGGACGCTTCCTATTGATTAATTTAATTAATTATGTTAATTAATTTCTTCAGTTAGTATGTTAAAATTAAAGTTTAAATGACATGTCTGTTTTTATAGTCATTGTCAACACTTTTGCAATTTCACTATGACCATTTGTTTCTATTTTTGTTTTACCAAATTACACAGCTTTTCTTTTCAGTTTTTACACTTATTTTCATGATCATTTACTTTTTTCATTTATTCTTTTCATTTGTTTCTTTTTGATCATATCTTACCTCTCTGGTTATTGCTTGTATTATTGGCCAATGAAGCAGTAGATACATGTAGTCATAGACTGCATATTTTTTTTTGTTGTTCTTGATCTAAAATTTGTCCCAAAGCGATTTTTTATGTGCATTTGTGAGTTTTGCTTTGAAATCAAGCGGGAACCCTGTGATGTGTATGCAGATGTAAGGTCATATTGACGGAAGTAACATAATAAAGCCATGAAAAATCAGCTCAATGGGTTACTATTTTTTCTAAAGTATTGTGCACCTTTGGACAGCATGGGGCTCCATTATCATAAAAAACAATACATTTTTTTCTTCAAAATATTGATTGGATGATTCCATAAGTCATAGTTTTTGCTCTTTGTGCTTGGTGATTGTATAACTAGTGACTTATCCCATTTTTGTTATTGATCATTGTGTTGAACTTAAGTTAGCCTGTCTTTAGTCATATAACACATCAGTGTTATTTTAGCAAACGAGAAAAGGTAGTTTTGGGATTCCATCAGGGCAACTTGTATTACTTTGATTCTCAGTTGGGGGTTTTTGTTGGGAAATAACTGTCCATAAAATGTGATCTCAATAATTTCCCAAGTCTTGGTTTATTTACTTTTTCATTTTTCCCCATTATTGGGAATTTTTTTCTTATTATTTTTTGCTTTTTGAACTGAAGAATTTTCTTTCGTGATGTCTGAGGTAAAATATATTTGGCTAATCATCATACCCAACCGTTGACCAGCCATTATTTTAGACACTGGAGTCATACCTAGACTGACTCGTGGAATCAGTCTAGATATTAATCAACATATAATATTAATGATTTCCTTGAATTTATTTTCAGGCGAGGAACAATGTCTGGAGATGATTATGATTGACCTATGTACTCTGTGCCCTCAGTCTTATTGACAACTGTGTTTGCTGGTATGTTACATGTATTACTCTTGCACATGAAAATAGCAAACAGTCTTGAGCAAGACATAACTATCTGCTGTGGGAGGTTTCATGAGTGAGTTCTGCTCATCAAAACTGAACATTTTGGATCTAAACATTTAAAATGAGCTTGATTTTCTCTGAATATCATTTATAGTGATGTGTGAAAACATAAAATAGCACTTTGATGACACCTCTCATACTTAATTAAGTATGTGTTAAGACAACCTGAACAGGAGAGTTATTGTCTTTTTACATTGAACTTATTAGTTTGCTTTAAAATGGTCAAGTTATGAAAGACTTTGGCAAAGAGATATTTTCATTCAAAGTAAACACTTAGCCTGTGGCCATCATTATAAACATTGATTGGTTATAAGAACATAGAGACAGTGGGAAACCATGGGGTGTGGCAGTGAAATGAACATACAGAGGAGTGTGTCTTGAAATCATAAAAATACAAAAGAACATAAGGGTAATATAAATTAAAGTGTAATAATATAATGTAATGAAGTCAGAAAACAATGGGGGTGGGGTGGGGCAGTTAATGAACAGGGCTTCTGACAGGATGCGCGGGTGCGGATCCGCATAATTTGCCTTTTTCCGCACAATCGAACGATTTCCGCATAATCCGGCAAAATCCCGCATAATTCATCAAAAATCTAAAGAAAACTTAATAATCAAGAAGAAATGTATCATAATGTTTTCTTATTTTGATGAAATTACGAATTTTTTATTGTTTACTTACCAAATTTCAAGCAATAAACAGCGTTTAAAACTGTATATTGAATCATACGCCATCGTGTAATGAAAAGGAACAAGGCGTTCTTAGTTAAAAACTGTGAAAGAGCCTGGTAACTAGCCTTGAATAAAACGTACTCTCTGATTGGCTAGAAGTCAAACAATAGCAGACATAGATAGCAAATGAGAGTTCTGGTTAAATACATGTATTCGCAGACAAGATTTTCGCGCGTAAAATAGCACCCCGAGACAATTACATGTACATGTAGGCAAATGCTGTTTCTTTTGATGTCTAGAAACTGATTATGATTGTTAATCGTTACCATTGTAAACAAGTATATTTTAGTCTAGGGTTAGCTTAATAACTGGCACTGTGATGTTCAGTTTTAAAAATATAATATTTCAAAAGCAAATACATCATAGATAAAATTGAAGAAATTAACACGACTTAAATTATGCTATTTAAGGATTTTTGATTTTGTGGAGCGAGTTAATTTCCTATAATAAGGCGTACATAATAGATAATCTATTAACTACGAATATGCAAACGATTGTTGTGCAAGGTGAGGGGAGGTGGTAAATAACGTTGAGATTTTTTGTTTAGCTTCAAAAACAGATCATAAATTTAAGGTTTCGAAAAAAAAAAACATTCAAAGCAATGTTTTGGAGAGAAGCATATCGAGAAGAATTGCATGTAGTGCGAAGAACACGACGATTACACGTGTGGATTAAAAACCTGAGATAAACAAGACCAGTGTCAAATAAAGAAGCAAAATCAAGGTAAAACTGTAAATAATTGCGTAAAACTTTAGTTAAACAAAGTTTGGAGTTAAATATAGAAGCAAAATTTTTAAAAAAACGTGTATAATCCTGTAAAAAAAATTCAGAAATTTTTTCGATTGTGACGTCATCCCGCATCCTATTCCGCATAATTTGCCATTTTCTCTGCATAAGCCGGAAAAAAATCCCGCATAATTTCAATTTTTTCCCCGCATCCTGTCAGAAGCCCTGAATGAATAAGATTAGACTAGTGGGCTTATAACAATGGGTGATTATAACCAGGGGGCTTATAACTCTAAGGAAATTTGCATTAGCAGACTAGTTGGCTTATAACCAGGGGTGCTTATAACTAATATAAGTCTGGTTCTTCTTTCAAGCACACAAGGAGTGCAAACACAAATTCCATATTTGTGCTATTTGTGTACATTTCATAGTAATGACAATGGAGTTTACAAAGCCTGCAACGTTTTCCAACCTTTCCCTCCATTTCTGAATTTCTGGCAATACACCTCTTACCTGTATATGATGATTTTTTAATACCAGTACTATACTTCCAGAATCCTTTAAAAACGTTTTTTGTTATGCTAATTTTCACTTTTGTATTGGTATTCTCAAGGGAGGTTTACTAGGATTTTATGGTAAGATAATGTAAGTGAATGGTATTCCCTGTATGCAATATTTAACAATCATTCGCCGAAGGCGAAGTGAACATCGGGGAATATTTGCCGAGACGAGAGTCTTCGAGCGGGGCAAATAATTGTTTTAGTATAAATACAAAGATGATTCTTTCAAAAAAAGAAGATGAAAGACACATTTAAAATTAGGAAAATTTTTAATTGGTGACAAGCACGGCTTTCAATTACAGCACAGGCGAACTCTGACTTTGCAATTCAACGCAGCTTGTTTGAACTTATTTGATTAAGTCCTTTTTTAGCTTTAAACAAAGTTAGTGCAAATTTGTTAGCCTCTTTAGTCCTTTTGGGGACAGTATGGAGGTGATTATCGTGTGCTAGTGTGAGTTTCTCGACCAATTAGCATGCAAGATTTTCAATAATCACATGTATTTTTACTAATATAGAATAATATTCACTGCTATATTACTGTAAGTTTATTTTTCATATTTTAAGGCACATTTTAATAAGAAGATAGGGACAATACTAGGAAGTTCAAAACAATTCAACAAATATATACTATTATTGTTTGTATAGGCTTTATTCTATGACTTAATTGTTTTTCTTGATAGCATAATGCTTACAGCTTTTTAGGGGATGGTATTAATAGGCTCACTTTAAGAATCTTTACAAAATGTTTATACTGTGTAATTGTTTTCCTTGAAAAAAAATCTAACCAAATTTACTAGCTTTAGCTGTTGTATCACAGCGTGGGACAATCACAACAGAGCTAGGCTCCAAACTACAGTAGGTGAAAGCCCAAAGATCGAATTAGAACTTAGTAGCTGATTTTTGAGGAGGGAGGAAAACCGGAGAACCCGGAGAAAAACCCTCAAAGCACAGGAGAGAACCAACAAACAACTCTACTCACATACGACATCGTTATCGGCAGGACTTGGCAGCGCATTAGCAGAACACGTCACTGTTGCTTCCCTAAAAAAGTCTTTGTTTGAACCTTAAAATATTATCCTTAGAAAAAACAACCTCTTGTTTGATCAAAGTCATTGCATGATACTGTAAAAATGGAATTTAGCTTGTCAGGTTTGAGGGATGAATAATTGGAGAACCCAGAGAAAAACAGTACAATAACTTCATTGTTTGGAATCTGCTTTTTGATTTTCCCCATAGTAAAGCATCTATTTTGTTAGGTTAAGTTTTGAATAATTGTCTGGAATACCAATCTATTTTTATTGGGGGATCATCCACGGGCAGCAGACTGTTCATAAATATCTGTTGGCTATACACTGTCTGAATACACTGCTCCTTTGGCTTCTCATATTTGCTCTGTTAAAGTTTTGAATTCAGGAAACTAACAGACAGCGCATTTCCTTCTTCCTGAACAACCTTACCAACAAAGAAGGCCTTGCAGTCTGTATAAGCCACTGAAACAAATTGGTCCTGATTGCAAGAACACAATGCTTTTATAACAGTTAATCCAAAACCACAATCAGTTTCTGGTTAGCTGAAATTTTTTCTCACGTTGTAGTTTGACCAACCTGTTTAGTAATGTTCGTCTTAGATTTCCTTTTGCTATTGGTGAGTCATCGTATTCCTGTTTTGTTAATTCATTGTAAAAATGCAAGAGCTATACTGATTTAACTATTCCTTTAAAAACGGTTTAATTACCTTTAAGTCTTCATGGACTACTGTTTCCTTCTCAGGGTAAAAGAATAACGTATAACCCGGAAAATTATTTCTGCAGGGAAGTAATGTCATTCTATTAATTGTTTTAGCTAATAAGCGTTTTCGTTTTCCTTTTTTTACCAGCAGTACATGTAAAATGGACAGTGACAGCAGAGTATTAGCTACAGTGGTTATAACTGATTACTATAGGAGCACTTGCCTTTCATTTATCAGGCATTATTTTCCATTTGCTTTCCGCATTTGATTTTTGACTGCTAGCTAACATCTACAGTATTTGATTTTTGGATATAACAGGATTTACCTGTTTTCTACCTGGCTTCTACCTATTTCCAGTAATTAAATATCAGCCAATAGATATCTTGAGCACTGGCTAGTTCCAGAAAATATCCATACCCCTGCCAAGGGCATCATTTTGAAAATCTAAAGAAGAGGGAGAATTGTAGATCAAAAATTCTGAAGGAGAGGGGGAGCATCTTGCTCTGTAATTTCCAAAGGAAATCTAATTCCATTAGATCATTCCATTATTTAATCATTTGAGTTTGTTCTTTTTAGGAGACTCCACTACAGTGAACAACAATCAAGATGCACATGGGAAATGTTACAGATAAGCCAAAGTAATAGAGTAAAAACATTACTATGTACAACACAAATAGCACTAATTTCAAAAATTGATGAAACGTTTTTGCTTGCATTTATCTTTAGCCCTACATTGTACTTTTTTGTTGAGAGCACTCTTGTGTTATTAGCTATTCAAAGGTTGATGAAAAAGCTGAGGAAAAGTGGGTATTGTAGTGCATTATGGGGCTGATTTAGGGGACGTTTCCAATTTCTATTTATCACTGATAACAGCCCTACAATGCATTGCAGTGTCAACTGCACTCAGCTTTTTCATCAACCTCAGAATGGCTAATAGTTACCTTACTTATGTACCCTCAAAAACCTTTGGGCTGATGGAAGTCAGGATACCGCTGTTGCTCACAGTTTGAAAAATGAGCTTGATAGGTTTTATGGAGGGCGTTAAACCAGAAAACCTGGAGAAAACCCTCAGATCAAGGCAAGGACCTAACCAACTCCTCTCATTTATGATTCTTAGACCACAGAGGTGAAAAATTTAATTCGTATAGGACTCGTATAGGACTCCACATGCCAATACATTATAGTAAATTATGGTTTATCATGAAAAAGTAAAATACTTGCACCAAGAATACTGCCAGACTGCATCACAGTCAGATATCTGACAATTATTCATAGCTACATTTCACCAAGATATTTGAATCCAAAACTCTTGAGGTTTACTATAGATATTGAAATAATATTATGTTGTCATTACAATCTTTGGATATTGGTGGTCACATTTGGCTGCATTGAAATTAATAGGAATTTGGCATAGTTTTGTTATGTGACACAGTGCTTGACATTGAAATGAGACATTAAACAAAATAGTTATGCCACCATGAAAACATAGGCTTATTGGCTTGAAGTTTCACAATTATGCATGTTGTAGCATGCTTTGTTTAAAGATTATCAACCCATCTGTGATTGGTATTTAACTCTGATATACTAACACCTGTCTACAGTGAAATACTTATTTTATCCTAATCACTATGCAACAGACACAGGGCTTCACACTTGAGACCAACATCTTAAGATATATATACAGGCAAGAATATCAAGTACAAGAAGAGTAAAAGATTTATCAATGCAGGGTTCTACAAGTTCAACATGATGGAGCATGAGTTGTTTAAAGATTATTAGTCCATCTGTGGTTGGTATTCAACTCTGATATACTAACACCTGTCTACAGTGAATTACGTACCGCTGGTGTACTTCTAGATTCAATCAATATAGGATACAGGTGAGTAACTGGTATAAGATATGTTACAACACTGATAACTATATAACTTAATAGAAACTGTTGTATAGACAAATGTAGGTCTATTATGATACAAAGATTAATGTAGGGCATTTGATTTTGTCTACTATTAGTAGGAAAAGTAGAACATTACAAGAGTAATGGAATTGATAGTTTGGTGAGAAAATAAGCCATGGTTCTCCATGCCATAGTATTGATAAAACGTTTAATAACATTTAATTGGAAACATTTATAAAGTATTAGTAGTAAATAATAAAATAAGAGTGTAAGCTGGAGTTAGAATAATTATAAATCCTTTTATGGTTTACCCTAAGCTCAGGCATGCTGTTAAAATGACTTAACAGATAAACAAATAAATGAATGAGTAACTTTATGATTAACATCAATCAAATTATCAATCTCTCCAAAAATTCGCTGGATATTTTTTGCTTCTGTTGAAAAGTTTCATACTGTTTCATACTCTTTGTTGGAGCTATCTTTTCCACTAGTTCCTTTGTTTGGTTTTTGGCCAGAGGTACAGGGAAGATTTGAAACTCCTTCACTGTACTGAATGAAATGCTGCTGTTGGGCAGTGACTTGTGCACTATAACTCAGCAAATAGGGATAGTATGGTAGTTGAGAGTTATCCACCTGATAAGAACACTATGAATTGTAATAATAAAAGTAAGGCTGACTGTCATCTTGGTCACCCTTATCCATCTCTGGAGTACAACTCAAAATACTAGGAAATTTTGAGCAGTCAAGCATGAATTTGCAATATGACAACTTGTGATAAAGGTTAGCTGTTGCCAAATTAAGATGTTGGCACTTGACAATGCATTATAGACTTCCAAAGGACCTCGGCAACATCTTTTGATGTCTGGAGCCTATTGACAAAATTTTGAAAGGCAATCAATATGTTTTCACAATACAAACGTTTTAGCGATGACAGATTTTTGTACAAAATTAGAACAGAATTTCACTTGGTCTGAACAGGCCCATTATGTGTAAATATTTGTAATTGTAGCTTCAGCTTTAAATACTCTTGAAACAGAGCACTGATGGAGAGAAGGGGTAAAGAGGAAATAATTGTTTGAGTCTAGTGTTAAATTCAAGGTGGAGGCTAAAAGAGTAGACATTGGCTGTTCCAAAGGTGGCTAATATTGTTAATGTTATATTTCACTTAGGATGGACATTTTGTAACTTGTAATAATTGACATCTTGTTGTTATGTATGGTTTGTTGTTCAATTGATTCTTTGCACAAAAATAACTTGTGTTGATTGGGATGTCCCTTGTTAGATTTGGTCTTCATATAGAGTTGTTGACTGTAGTGACTGTGTTAGAAGTTTATATCTTGTTGACAAGTCTTTAAACTGGACAGCAAGCTGTTGTCGTCAGTTTTAGGCAGTTCATAAATGTCAAAATATTTTTGTAATTCTTGTGAAAAGAAGACAAATGGTACACACAATATCGTTTACTCCAATAACTAATGGTGAAAAACTAGGGTTGGATGATCTGGCTTAATTGGTCAGATTTGGTTTTCATATAGAGTTGTTGACTGTAGTGACTTTGTTAGAAATGTGTTGACAGAAGGACTTTGTTTGGAAGTTGTTACCTTTAGTAATGAAGTATATATCTTGTTGACAAGTCTTTAAACTGGACAGCGAACTGTTGTCGTCAAATTTAGGCAGTTCATAAAGGTCAAAATATGTTTGTAATTCTTGTGAAAAGAAGACAAATGGTACCCACAATCGTTTACCCCAATAACTAATGGTGAAAAACTAGGGTTGGATAATCTGGCTTATCTTATAAATGACAATAAATATTATAGTAAAATTAAAATCTGTAAACCAAATAAATTAATGGTATTATAGTTTTGAACATTTAATGCAGTTTATGTTTTGTGTTAAGTATCCCATTTCACTAGATGACCATACTTAGTGCTCCAAGCAAATATGATATGATATTGTCTCTATAAGCAACCTAACAAAGTAGCTACATTTGTAAGCTAGTTGTAGGCCAAAGAGATTTACTAGGTGTATGAGACATTTAGTTATTGAACAAAATATATCAAAATGTGTAAAGAATATTAGAATCATAAAAACTATGATGGTAAACTAATAAATATCTTGATATAAGCACCACGACATAGAAGCTTTACTAGTCATAGGTCAAAGAGATATATCCTAGTTACTAGAGACACTTAGTTATTAAACAAAATATATCAGAAATGTCTAAATAATATTAGAATCATAACAAATATGTTGGACTTGAAGCAACTCACTATTGAACAAGGTACTAGATACTATACTAGATATAAAGGAGTGCTGATGATGAAAACTAGAGAATGGATGTCAGTAACAACCTTGGGTTTTTAGGGATAAACACAAGCTAGGGTACCCAGCCCCTGGGGCGTGCCCCATTAACCATTTATCAAGGTTTGTTTCTGTCAATAATGTGTATTAAAGATTGAGCAGCTCCTGTACATAATTCAGTTAAACATAAGTCAATTAGGGCAGAAAATAAGAAATCAACCTCACTAAAAGTTTATCTAATAAGGAAGTGAAGTACAAATTTTTTAACAAAATAATTTAAAAAAAACAGATAGTGAGTATACTGACTTTATCCATTGACTAGTTCAGAGGTCAAAATTTGTACCATTTAAATTGACAGCGGAAAAATGAATGGAATATTAAAAAGTGAATGGAATATGAAATAAAGATAAGGAACGTGTAGAAAAGACTTGTATGAGTGACTTTCATATATTGGCCTGTTTGCCTTGTTATTTAATTCCATGCTGCTGTCATATATACAAATATGTGTAAAGCATAAAGTAAGTCTATAGTATGGTCATTCTAGCCCCTGTGCCCCATTAAATTTTTATACTTAGGTTAATCATTTTAGTGACTCTTTATATCAGGGCTTCATCATATTAACAGCTATTACATAGTCTTGAGTAGTTTCACACTATACAGAGAAAAGAATAAAGTGAGTCTTGTTATCCGAGTACAATGGTTTTAAACAACATCTTCAAGACATGACAGCCCAACACTTAACCGCACAGCCACCTAGAGATCTTCCAAGGTATGCAGAGGACATAAAGAAGTAAATGTAGACACCCCAATGGAAAGAAACAAGACCTTCAACATAAACGCTAAGACTCCCCAATACTCCACCAATAAGCAGTCCAGTGAGAAAGAGATCTTCCAAGGTATCTGTGAAATAAGAAAATAAAGCATAAATATAGTCATTCAGACACCACGATTGTAAAAAAATATTGAACAAGCAATCTTCCATGGTGTATCATGTTGCAAGATGACAGTGGGAGGAAAATATAGCATGAGCACATTAAGTGAGACACGATGATTGTAAGCCTATTGAACAAGTGATCAGTCATGGTGAAGTCTGATGCAAGAATACAGGACAACAATGGACAAGAAAGCATCAAGATTGTCAGTTAGACACCATGATTGTAAACCTATTAAACAAGTGATCTTCCATGGTGTATCATGATACAAGAAGACCACAGTACAGAGAAAAGACTGTATTACTTCCAGACACTGGGAGGAAAATAAAGCATGAAGACAGTCAGTCAGACACCATGATCGTGAGCCTATTGAACAAGTGATATTCCATGGTGTATTGTGTTGCAAGAAGACAGTACACAGAGAAGAATGGATTGGTTCCAGACACTGGAAGGAAAATAAAGCAGAAGATAGTCAGTCAGACACTATGATTGTAAGCCTATTTAACAAGTGATCGTCCATGGTGTATCTTGAAGCAAGAAGACAGTACAGAGACAAGAATGTATTTGTTCCAGGCAATACGAAGGATGAAGATAGTCAGACACCATGATTGTGTTCCATTGTGTATCATCTTGCAAGAATCACCATACAAAGAGGAGAATGGTTACAGACACAGAAAGGAAAATAAAAGATGAAGATAGTCAGTCAGACACTATGACTATAAACCTATTGAACAAGTTATTTCTTTGCGAACACCCAATGACTTTTCAAGGTCATGTGACCTGTTTTGGAAATGAAAACCTTTTAACAGAACATGGTAGTCAACCATTCTAGGCACAAATACGAATACATCAGTTTCTATGAAAGAAGTTTGGTGAAACATTTTGTTGTCATGGTTTCTATAGTATAAGGTTGGCCCATTTTCAGAATATTTTTTCTGCTATAAAATAATAAATCAGAGTTTGGTCATGTGACACATATATTGGAAAAAATTCTCGAGAAATGGCTAGACTAAAGCATCTTGCCAGGTTTTACATTCAAATCTCACATATATTTCAAGTAATGGGAACATACTTATTTTATCCTAATCACTAGGCAACAGACACGGGGCTTCACACTTGAGACCAACATCTTAAGATATATATATGGGCAAGAATATCAAGTATGAGACAAGTAAAAGATTTATCAATGCAGGGTTCTACAAGTTAAACATGTTGTAGCATGCTTTGTTTAAAGATTATCAAGCCATCTGTGGTTGGTATTCAACTCTGATATACTAACACCTGTCTACAGTGAAATACTTACCTCTGGTGTACTTCTAGATTCAATCAATACAGGATATAGGTGAGTAACTGGTATAAGATATGTTACAACACTGATAACTACAGAATCTAATAGAAACTATTATATAGACATTGTAAGGTCTATCCTGGTTAATCAACATTTGGAAGGCACACACTTTTCAGTAGCAATAGTAGGTAGGTATAATGCATTACAAGAGTAGCTGACCTGATCTTACTCTTTGCAGTGAGTAGGGCATTCATTTTTAGCAAATTCATTATCTAAGAAATCTAAATTCAATTAATTTTAATACTTTGTCTATAAAAGCATTGTAAGATCATAGACTAGGTATTATTACTTAAGCTTAAACGTTTTAGTTATTTTAGTTTCTCAGATTGTACTGTGCATTAAGTCAATAATAAAGGAGTATGTTAACTATTCATTATTTTAAAAGATAATATTTTAATTTTTTTAAACTGCTTTTAATTTTTCCATTTTAGGAAAGTTTAAACACCATATGTCAGAAAGCAACCTGAATACAATAAATTATTTTAAAATAGAAGGCTATTCAATGAGCAATATCCATGCTTCTGGCAGGCATGCTCTTTCTTGTTATATACAATCATCCTGTTTTTCAGAGGATAAGGAAGGTCACTTGTTTCACTTTGTTGTCTCAACAGTTATGCTCTTCTTTGGTTGTCTTTCTCTTTTCCTGTCCAAATTACACTGTGATCACTTGAGTGCGATGAAAATGAACTTCTTTAGGGTTGGCCTCAAACTATGTTTTTTTCTCTGTTGTGGCGTCAGGATTTTCATTCTTTGGGTGGTATGTTACAGATACATTAACCTTTAGTATGGGGTCATGTAATGGGGGTCTTAGCATTGAGTGTCATGTTAAAGATACATTAATCTTTAGTATGGTCTGTCATTTACTCCATGAGTCACTGTCTCTATTTGTCACAACATCAATCATAATAGCTGGTGTATACAACTTAGTTCACTCAATACCTGACATTCCTGTTTCTATCATTCACTGCAAGTTTTGCATGATTAAGGCCAAAACAAACTTGACTTATAAATAAGCACAAAGAGTGAGTGCAGCAAACTATTAGAAATTACAAACATGATTGAATGTGGATTAAGAAAACGGGGGGGGGGGGGGTGGGAGAGATTTTAAATCATTGATAATTATTCAGTGTGAGTTGTTATTCATGGGTAAAATTAAATATTGTAATTATAATCCTAAAGTTTGCTGCATTCACTTTAGCTCATCTCCTGTTCAGGTTGATTTTACGTCGTACATTATTTTATTGATTGATCATATGATAATGAGTAATAAAGACATACCAGCTAGCCAGCAAACCCTACTACACACCCCTCTCCCCCTACCATGCAATATGTCTCTGTGACTATTGAGAAATAAAAATATTATCACAACAGGGGGGAGGGGTGAAACTACACATACCACACATTACATTCGTTTGAGGCTAAGGGACTGGTCTATAATTTATTCAATTAAGTATTAATGTATTCAGGGTCTGCTAAGAGGCTGGGTCTAGAATGTATGTAATCAAGTATTTATTTATTCAGGGTCTGCTAAGGGACTGGGTCTATAATTTATTCAATTAAGTATTAATGTATTCAGAGTCTACGGAGGGACTGGGCCTATAATCTGTTCAATCACATATTCAGTATCTCCAAGGGGATTGGGCCTAAAATTTATATTAATTTATTCAATCAATCTCAAGGGAACAGGGATTATCATGTTGCTACATCATAATGACATCACATCAGATTTTTAATGGGGAAAACAGAATTACATATTAAGTTCAAATTTTTGAATGTGTGCAATGTTTCCACTACCAATGTAAAACCAGTGTCTGCACAGTCTATGGGGCTATACTCATGCAAAGCTGTCATGTTTTTTCTCAAGGAGATTATAAACCTTTGGTTTAATGCACATAAATTTATTCTTGGGAACTTGAATGCAAGGCTTCGTGTTGAGGAATCTATCGTTCCATTCAACATGGCTGCTGTGTGAGTACGGCTTACTGCATGGTGATGTCATTACAAAATAGAACAAGTTTGAAGGTTACTTTATGAAAATCAGTGCTGAGGGAGTTGTTCCTAGAAAACTTTAGTTTAGAAATAACTAGAGTGGATTTGGTATTTGGAGCCCAATGCAAGATTTAGTTGTACAATCAATTTTGTTTGGACCAACACATGAACAGATCAGCAACATCAACATGTGTGAGTAACCATTACTCCAGCTGATAACAAATCCTCTCTATCAATTTTACATCTAAGTTTATTTTATTTAATGATGGGACAGGATATATAAAGCCTTGGTCTTATTCCTAGTCTTAATCAAGTTTATTATTAGAATTTTAGTCTTATGTTGTTTCCTAAGATGAGTTTTTTCACCAGCAAAAAACGTCTTAGCAGAAGTAAATAAGCCATCATAATCAATGAAAGAATGAAATTGCAGTTTTTCTTTGTATTTTTGAATGGAATCGTGAGCAACTACATGTATGATAATTGACTGTGCCAAATTGAAAGTATATATGGGCATAATATATACCATTGTTGTTGATTTTGGATAAAATGAGACTCTGGGTTTGTATAGCTTGTGCATATAATACAAAGATATAACTAGCTAAAAACCTAGTGTGAGCTGCGTCGGTGTTTCTAATGAAACAGTAATGATGAAAAGGTAAATTATACACCGTGAAAAGATGAAAAAACTTACTGACGTTTCGGACGCTAGTCCTTCGTCGGAGTAAAAGAGGGATAATACAAGTGCTTTGAACATAATCATTTATGGTAAAACAACTCTTGGTTTTACTTTTAATAATAGTTTCATTCCAATCAATCGTAATATTGTTTGTTCATTGTCAGGTATGGTGTTTCAATGCCATTCTCTGATGGCTCACCTTGTCTTATATTCATTGATTTTTTATTTTGCCTCATTTGGCTTGTATTCATTGATTTGTTTGCACTTTTGGTGTATTATATTCCATGATTATGCACAGCTGAATTTGTTCTCAACTTTAGTCAATTAGTAATATACTCCATGTATACCCAGACTAGTGTGTTATAAATTTGAAAATCCAAAATGATTGCAAGAACTTTAATTCAAATTTTTGCAAATTGATCATCACAAATAAAATAAAAGCTTTGTTGAAATAGTTTTCATCAATTGAATTTTACATATTTTATTGTAGTTGCTCTGTATGATTTTTTTTGCTTTGTAATTTCACTTTAGTTCTCATCAAATATCTTGTTTGCTAAAATATTTTTTAAATAATTGTTCAAAGAAATTAAATTAAGACCTCAGTTTCATCTGGAGAAATTAGTGAGATATATTTTGCCTTTATTGTATTTTAATATTTGGGTGTTAATTGTAATCAAGTATAGAAAGTTGTTCGTATCTTTAATTTCTTTCTTGGTTCTGCTGAACTCTTGCTTTGAATTAATTTTTTTCTTTTTTTTTCTTGAGTTTATATAGTTTTTCTGTTTTTCATAAGAAATTTTTTACTGTTAATTTTTTAATATGAAACTGAGGTCTTATTTTGCTGGTGAAAAAACCTTATTAAATTACAATCCTATGATAGAACCTTGTATATCAGTCTAGCCGAACATCATTAAACTCAAGATTAGGTCACCTAGAAATGATTCAACTTCCTGTCTTCCCAGGTTGATAATCTACTTGTATGAAAGTCTGAATGGTGTCTTATGCAAGTCTATTGAGCACACCGCCCCTAAAGTTATCACTGCTATACACACCCATGAATAGTGAGGTATGATTATCTCTGCTCTTACCCACACTAACCTGCACCGTGTACTGGCCTATTACACCATCAGCGTACTCCCATGAAATCTGCAGAGAGCCATCACCTGGTATCCTTACCTACAACCTTCACCGCCAGAGCAATCATCTGATCATAGCCTCAAGGTTAGACTCTGCCAAGAGCAGCAATGTTGGACCGCCTTTTGTGGTTTCCTGGCCTGGTGGGGCAGCTTCTGTTTGGTGCTGGTAGGACCTCATGGGAGGTATCAAGTGTATTTCATTTTTCTGGTACAAATAATAAATGATGATAATATTAGATATAGGAGAGTGTTTCTAACTAGTGAAGGGTTCCCAGTAGATTTTGAAAGAAAAATATTTATTGAAACCAGCAGCCAATCTAAATTTGTTTCAAAATGAAAAAATTTAAAATTGCATGAGCAAAACAGAAAATGATTTTTAATTTTGTTTGGTTTTTACTGAGAACCCTTGACTAGTTGTAAAATGTTTTGATTAAGATAACAGTGCTCAACACTAACTTTTTCAGATACTAGGCAATGGGCTAGTAAGTCTATAAATCTACAAAGTAGTTCAGCAGAGTACTGTACAAGCCAGAATAAATTTCCTGGGCAATAAATAATAACCTTCAATAACCTACTAGCCTATGGTCAGGACTAGTAAGTCCTACTTTTCACAAGTCCACAGCAAAGATACACTTATCTCAGACTAGTGGTCTAATGTTAGTGTCGAGCACTGGATAATCTGATAATTAGATGGTTTGAAGTAAGAATCTTAAAATGGTTTGGTGAAACACTCTCCTATATCTAATATCTCAGGCTAGAGGACTGGTAATCAAAAGTTTTTTTTTTTTGCCTGGACAATAATCTATTATTAATAATATTTTTTGTTTTGAGGTCTCTTATGAATAAATTCTAATTCATATTTCTCCTATAGAATCTTGCAAGCAAATTGAAACATCTTCTTGGTAATTTTTTTTCTAAATACTTAAATTATACTTATAATTATAATATTATTATTATCATAATCATACTGCCAAAAAATTTTAAATCTAGATGGTTTCAAAATGTATGAACATAACATTCCTACAATAAAATATTTGTGAATCTGCAGGACTGAAAATAGCAGCCAATATGCAATACTAATATTCTGATCACAAGTAAAAGGAAATGATTTTCACGTATAATGTTGAGAATAAAATGTCAACAGAAAATTTACAGTCAAAATTCACTTGTCCTGCACAAACATTTGTGCTATTTTAAGCCCTGCATGTTACCAGTCCTCTAGCCAAAAACAT